GGGGACATGAGGGACAAACGGGTGGACAGGGGGATGTGGGGAACATGTGAGGGGACACGGGGGGACACAGGAACACAGGGAGAGGGGGACGGGGGCACAGGGGAACATGGGGGCACAGGGACAGTGGGATGGGAAGGGGAGGGGTCGTGAGAACACGGGGGGGGGGACGTGGGAACACGGTGGGGACAAGGGGACACGAGGCCAGGCAGGGCATGACGGGGCTCCCAGCCCAGGTGGGACGATGGGGATGCCATGTCCCTCTGGGCCCTCCCCGGGGGTCTCCCCCACCCCGGGATGTCCCTCTGGGCCCGGAACAGCCGTGCCCTCAGCCCCTACAACGCTGAAACCCCAGGGCAGCTCATCGGAGGGGGAGGAGACCCCAAGGCAGCTCATTCGCACCTGTCTTAACCGTGGGATGGGACCTGGGAAGTGAATCCTGGCATGGGAGCTTAGGGAATGAGGGAGGAGGAGCAGAGCATCTGCTGGATCTCTGCCCCACATCCCGTGGGAAGCTCACGTCGCCGGGTGATGTCTCCCGCAGGGCAGGATGTCCCAGCCCAGGCTGCTGCTGCTCCTGCTGCTGCTCTGCGCCGAGAGCAGCCGCGCCCTCAGCCTCTCCAACGCCGCCTCCCTCCTCAGCTGCCTCCACTCGGCCCTGCCCGAGGCCCGGGAGCAGCTCCCGCAGGAAAACGCCGTCCTGGACAAGCGCGGCTTCAGCTTCCAGCCCCGGGAGGCGCCCGAGGAGGAGCGGGAAGGGGCCGGGGAGCCGGAGGAGGAGCTCGGGAAAAGGACATTCCCGGGGCAGGGCCACTACAAGTACGTGTCCCAGGCGCAGGGGAAGGGCAAGACGTCCCAGAACCGGGCCAAGAGCGACCGGCGCGCCAAGGTCACCCTGTCCCTCGACGTGCCCACCAACATCATGAACATCCTCTTCAACATCGCCAAGGCCAAGAACTTGCGGGCCAAGGCGGCGGCCAACGCCCACCTGATGGCCCAGATCGGCAGGAGGAAGTGACACCCCCGGGGCCAGGGGGGAGCTCCGGGCAGGGCTGGGCCTGTGGGGCCACCCCCGGCCCCGACCCGCGGCCAGAGGGGACTGATGGCCACGTGCTGGGTGGTTTTGAGCCGTCCAGCCGCCCTCAGTTTCGTATCTCCTGCTCCTCCTCCTCCTCCTCCCCCCGAGCTCCATCACTCCCAGACATTCCTACGCCCAGGAAAGAGGCTCCAGCCCCGGGCAGGGCACAAGGGATGGGTTACCCGGGAAGGGTCCTAATTAAAGCTGTACTCTCTTGACTTTCCAGTGGGTTCTCCCATCGATTTGTTCTCCCATTGATTTGTTCCCCCCAGTTGGTTCTCCCACCTATTTGTTCTCCTCCCAGTTTGTTCTCCCACCTCCTGCACCTGCTGCTCCACTGGGCCCTGTAGGGTTTCCAAAGCCTCATGGCCCCATCCCCACCATGGTCCAGACCCTTCTCCCTCCCAAATCCACAAATCCCTACACAGTTCCCTGGGAAGGGAAAAGCAGGAGTGGTCAGGAAAGCTCAGGAGGGATTTCCCAGTTTCTCCTTCCAGGGATTCCCTGCGGTTTAAGGTTGTTTTGCATCCCCCCCTTTCCCACTCCAGCACCTTCAGCATCAACCTCCCCACCCACATCCCTATTCCAGCCTGGCTGCAGATCCCACATCCCTATTCCAGCCTGGCTGCAGATCCCACATCCCTATTCCAGCCCTTTAATTCCAGCCTGACTGCAGATCCCACATCCCTGCCAGCCCCTTTCCTGGGATGACTCCCTGAGCAGGGAGTCCCAGTGGAGGAATAACCCCCTGCAGTCCAGGGGACCCGAGAAGGTCCAGTTAAATCCCCTTTTTCCAGCTCAGAAGCAGTTTCCAGGAATTCTGGCACTGTGTCTGGGGAGCAGTCACAGAGCAGCAGGAGGGAGGGGGGAGGTTTATTAGGGAGACGGGGAGTTAAGACTGACCTTGGGCTCGGCTTTAGGGGAGGCTGAGACTGCCAAAGTCTGTGAATTCTCCTCTCAGCTCCAGCTGAACTTCCAGGCAGGGCCAGCCCCAGCAGCAGGACACGGGTGGTTTTAGCAGGAGCGGCAGCCAGGAGGGCCGACTGTGTCCTGCTGACTGAAGAATCGCTGGAAAAGGTGTTGGAAAAGTCAGATTGAGGACAAAAGGGAAAGCGTGACGGAGCTCCCTGGCGAGGTTTGCTCCCTAGGAGGTCAAAGCACAGAGAAAAAGCAAATTCAAACCTCAATTCAAGCTAATCTGAAGCTCAAACCAGCCCAAAATTTGCCGTGGGGAGGTTGGGGGTGGAAAAGAGGAGAAAACACGGGAGGATCTCTCGTTGAGTCATGAGGCTCAGAGCAGACCCCTAGGCTTGACCACCAGCCTAGGACTAAAGGTTTGAGCAGCACTTAAACTCACCAGCACTTAATCCACAGCCTAATTTAGACCATATAACAAAATCCTGTCCAACTGACCATTGGCACAGCAGGAACTCGCTCCTAGGCCTGGCTTAACTACGGGTCTAACACGCCAAGGAACGGGCTGGAACGACGTGATGGGAACACGGATTCTGCAGGCTGGGCTTTCTTTTAGGACCAGCTTTGCTATTCCAGCACAAAATAAAGCTATTCCAGGGGAAAATAAACATGAGGGAGGGAGGCACAAGAAAGAAAGAAAGACGGAAGGAAGGGAAGAGTGCAGGGGGGGATCAGTCATCCCTGTGGGTCCCTCCCAGCTCAGGATATTTCATAATTCCCAGTGCTTCCCTCCAATCTTAACGTCCAACCTACCAGAGCTGCCCTTAAAGGGGCTGCCAAGTGAAGCTTTGCATCGAGTTTTAGAAGAATCACATGTCAGCACAGGGGCTTAATTGGAGTTAATTGATTCATTTGACTGAGGGACGCACTGAGTTCATCCCACACGGGCACATCCCATTGTCCTTGGATTTCTGATGTTTGTCAGCTCTCTGGGTATCACAGAACTCAAGAGAGGCCAAAGATGACAAGGTGGAAGGTGTAGGGAGTGAGGACAGAGGAGCAGAGTGACCTGGATCGTCCAAATTAACCTGCTGGATTTTTTAATCTATAAAAGAATCCATTTTCCACAACATACAACAGCTGGGAATTGCATCCCTGGAGCAGCTCAGGTACCTCTGGGCCTCCTGGAATTCCTGTGAAACCTTCCATGAGTTGATTGTGTCCCTTGGCATTGATTGTGTCCCTTGGCAGAGCTCCTGTCCTGGCTGTGAACCACCTTATTACCCACCCAAACCCTTGCTGGCTCCCTGGAACACATTCCATCTTCCATTTAGTTTTATTGCACTTATTTTTTCGTTGTTTTGTGGGTTGCTTTTTTTTTTTTTCCTAGATGAAAACACAAGGCAGGGGGTGTTTTGTTTGGTTGGTTTTTAAATGCCTCTAAACACTGATGGTGTCACACCCCTAATCAATTTGTGGCCTCGGGTTTTACGACCTCTGAACTGCCTGGAATCCTCCACATTCCTGTTTTTCCCAGCAATGCAGGTGCTTTAAATGAGCAACAGTGACCAAGTGTAGAAAATCCCACAAGATGACTTGACCTTTTGAGCTGTGAAAGAGCTCAGTGTCACTGAGCTGGGCTTTCATCCTGGCCTAATTAAGTCTGCTGGCTGGAGAAGTCCTTAATGTGTGTTACTAATCCCCTGCTTAATGCTAACAGTTTTTCCAACAAGGAATGGTCCTAACAAGGGGGATGTTTAAGTCAGTGGAGTCTCTTCTGCTCCTTGCTGAGAGAGGAGAGGAGGGGAGAAAGCCCAGAGGGCAAAAGGCCTCCCCGGAGCAAAATCTTTCCCTGGAGGAGGGAGCAAAGCTGGGAATACCCTGGGATGTCTCTGGGGGGAATAAAGGGGGGGGAATGTGTGAGAGGAAGATCCAAGTTCAGGAAGGATTTGCCTGTGCAGCCTCTGGCTCCTGTGATGAAAGGAAATCCTCACGTTCTGCAGGGAATGGGAACTGGGGGAAGGGTTTGAGATCCTCTGAACACAAAGGAGCCAGTGGAAAAGACCTCCAAGATCAAGTCCCACCACTGACCCACACCACCACCATTAAATCATGTCCCCACGTGCCACATCCACATTTTTTGAGCACTTCCAGGAATGGTGAGTGATTGACAACCCTTTGCATGACAATTTTTCCCCTAATATCCAAACCAAACCTCCACGTTAAGGCAGTTTCCTCTCATCTTGTCATTTCTTGCCCTCTCACCTGCCACCTAGTTCCTCTCACAGCTTGTCCTGGTTTGTCTCTTCCCTGGTCTGGAGGGGACAGGACAAGGGGGAATGGGTTCAGATTGAAAGAGAGTAGGGATAGATGGGATGTTGGGAAGGAATTGCTGGCTGGGAGGGTGGGGAGGGGCTGGAATGGATTTCCCAGAGAAGCTGTGGCTGCCCCTGAAACCCTGGAAGTGTCCAAGGGCAGGCTGGAACAGCCTGGGATTGTGGAAAGTGGCCCTGCCCATGGGAGGGGGTGGAATTAAATGATCTTTAAGGCCCCTTCCAACCCAAATCTGGGTTGGAATTCCACGACTGCACCTGCTGCTGCTGGGGTGGTGTCCCTCTTCCTTCAGTGTGGACTTCAGTGTGTTCCTCCACACACCTCCTGATCCCATCCTTGGACCTTCTTTGCCCTCCTGACCTGCAAAAGGATGATTTCAGCAGACAAGGCCTGTCACAAACTACCTCTCAGATCACCAGAGCCTCCGCTCAGCCCTCCAATTGGATGGAAAAGCCATTCCATAAATCCATGGCTCACTGCCTGCTGCAGAGGGCGGGGGGGTGGGGAGGGGGTAGACAGAGCTCAGGGGAGCAGCTGAATGCAAAGAACAGGAGGGTTTGAAACTGGAAACTTCTCAACACCAGGAGGACACAGCGGTGTCTGGCTGCTCCACACACCAGCCAAGCAGGGAAGGAGGGAGGAGGCAGCTGTGGAGAAGGACTGGAATGAAATAAAGGGATTTGGCTGGTGGAGGTGAAGTGAATGCATGTCCATCAGTGACCACAAGCCAATGTAGATGAAATTCCAAACGAGGAATGACACAACTCGCTGAACTGTTTAGGTTTGAACCAAAATAGCAACGTCACGCTTTTGTCTCATTAAGTCTGCCCTAGAATAAGATAAGCAGAATTAATTCCCTCACTTTTGGCACAGAATCAGTGCTGGGTCTGACTCCTCTGGCTGGTGTACCAGGAATGCTCCCTCTTTCTCCTATCCCAGCAGTGTGTTTCAAAAATAGAAGCCCAAATTCTTGCTGAAACCTTTAAATCCCGGGCTCACCTCTGGTTACGTGAAACCTTCTGGCAGCTTCAAGAGGGGGCTCTGCATCGAGCTGCAGGTTCCACTTCAACAGCTAAACCTGTGGGTTTAGCGTCCCTGAAGAATCCGTTTCTGATCCCTTACTGAAACCCAGGCAAGAAAGGGAAATTCCTCCTGCACACGTGGGGGGTTTTTAATGAGTCTCAAGGAATTGCATCCAAATGCTGCACAGTTGAGATCACCCTGCCGCTCAGATGGACGTGATCAGGTGCAAAAGGCCCTTGCAGCGTTGCTGTCTGGGGTGTAAGTGTTGGTAAAGGGAGAAGTTTTTGCCCAAACTGTCTGAGCTAAAGGCAGATTTGTGCTTTGGAGGAGATATTTTTGATTTACTAGTGATGGTAATCCCCTCTCTATAATAGGGGTTGTTTGGGGGTGTCACCCCATGAGGGGAGAGACACCAACCCTCGTGGGCAGAGGCCCCATCCCCACCACCACAGCCACTTTCCCCACAGGAGAAAGGCTGAAACGGGGAAAATCCAAATCTCAGCAAAGTGGGACACAATTCCAGCTGATCCCCTCACCTGAGCGTGTCTAAACATTCACCCAGAGCCTTTTTGGAAGCACCACTTAACCAGCCTGCCATGGGAACCATGGGGACTCCTGATGGCTTTTCAAGGCAGCGTTTTGGGATTTGCTGGCCAGGCCAATGTGTGTCTGGCCAAGGCAT